AGCCAGCGCGCCCCAACAGGGGTTCTGATGTTTTACCCCTGGCGTGGCATGTCTCTCAGAGCTCCAGCAGGCCCCTTCTGAGCTTCAAGGGCTGGCGCTCCGCGCCTTGCAGAGCGCCAAGGATGCCAAGTTTCCCTATTCTTTTCACACTTTCTCATGCATGTTCCTAGGTATTATACCTATGTTTCATAGTTGTTTCCAACACTCCAAAGTACGTCTAAACATCAAGAACCCCTCCATAACATGTGATCAAACACCTTGAATCCATAATTCCAATTCAAGGAAAATTAGTTTCCAAGTCAAGTGAAGTTATTTTCCAAGTCAAGTGAAGTCAAGCTTAGAAGTAAGTAAGTCAAAGCAAATCTTTAAGGTTTTCCAAGAGTCTTCATTGAACGTTTTAACTTCTTTTTAAGGCTCAAGTTCCAAGTTAAGTATAGAGCTCCAAGTTAAGTAAAGTGTATCAAGTTTCAAGTTAAGTCAAGAGTCAAGAGTTTCGAGATAAGTCAAGAGACAAGAGTTTCGAGATAAGTCAAGAGTCAAGAGTCAAGAGTCAAGAGTCAAGTGCATTTCTCAAAAGTTATTAGAGAACTAAGTATTTCCCAAAGAAGTTTACAAATGTTTTCACATTTTAAGATGAGAGGAAACTGAGATTTCCAAAAGAGTTTTGAGAAGTTTGAGTACTATCTCTTTTTGAGAAAAGATGAGTTTTGCGAAGAGTTTCTAAAACATGATTAGTATGACAAATCGAGTATGTCATCAATGTTTAAACAGTATGGTCTCTAGATATACCATCAATGTTTAAGCAACATGAATATCCCGAATCATCAATGATCATATTAAAATATGGTTTTGATATGTTCTTTTAGAAAGAGTTTTCAAGAGCCTTTGGGCTAAGTTTTGAGTAATTATCTCAACTAAAGAAAGATGTGTTTAAAACACTAATGAGCTAAAGTATTTTGGGAGTAGTCTTGAGCACCAAATTGGGGACATGAGTTCATATTAACTCAACTCTCCATAAGAGCCATGTAGCCAAACATGGGATTTCTTGAATCATACTTTTTAGATGATCACGAAAGTTAAGCTAGTGGATCCATTAAGCAAAAGTTAAAGTAAAGTTAGCTTCCTATATCACGGCAAGGTATAGGATGGTCCTTGGGCAACGTGAGGTAAAACGTTGTATCACTACTTAAGCATGCAGTGGTGGTTATCGGTTTAGAGAACTCCCACAGTAGAAAGAGCTTGGTTCCTCGAGAAGTTCTGCTTAGTGTGGATGGGGGTATGAGACTTCATTCATGCATTGCACTAGTAGACTTCGAAAGGAAGCATGGTATTTTCATGATATTATAAATATGATTTTTACGTCATGTTTTAATAGTTTTACAAGCTTTATATATTGCATGTGTCTTATTGCTTTATATATTGAGTTCAGTTATTCTCGAGTTGAACAAAACCAAGGTAAGTTCTCTTCTGCATCTCTTTTCAAGCTTAAGTTATTGTTTAGCGGTCCAGCTCACATACTCGTACATTCCATGTACTGATGCCAGTTGGCCTGCATCTTATGACGATGCAGACACAGGTACCCCGAATCAGCATCTTGTACGTCGTTGATCCAACTGAGCACTCCAGAGTCAGTGGTGAGCCTCCTTGTTTCC